TGGCCGCAGCAAGGCTCCACAACAAAAAACCTCTAAAAAAAAAAAAAAAAAAAAAGAAGAAATAGGAGTAAGGGAATGGGGATAGCCATCACAGATACCTGTTCTGAAGAGACCGCAGGATGGAAGTTGAGTTGTCAAGGGCGGTCATTCTTAAGACAAGAGTTAATACTGCACTGGAATGTCAGGGAATAATCCAGCATGCAAAGAAAAGGACAGTGTCAAGGTAAGAGGGAGGTAAGAGGGCTCACTGAGAGTCAGGACATTAGACTCTAGGTCTGGGGTGAGGAAGTACTCAATAGGACATGAGGGCATCTGCCTTAATGTATCTGGAGTAATGGGAAGGAGTTTGCTTTCCTTTTCCTTTTTTAAAATAAGTTTTATTCATTTTCTACATGAGATATATTTTTTGTGTGTGTGGAGAGAGAGGCACTTTAACGGAGTTTTCACACTATGATCTACCCCCAGCTTCAGCTAGCCCTGACCCCATTTCCAAACATGAACCTGGAATCTTCCCATGTGGGTCAGCTATGTGAAGTGTCAAGTTTTACCACTGTGTCACCTTTTGGACAGAATATTTCTCCTTTTAAAACCACCAAAAAAGCTGAAGAAAATGATGCACAATACTCTTCCATATGTGAGACATCAGGCAACCAAGGACATGGATTCCTGAGATATGAGTCCATTAGAACGTGTGGCAACCCTCCGATATAGACCCAGTTCACTTCCTTGAGTGGCTGGGAAGTAAAAAGCCAGCCAGGTGAGAATCCAGGGAGGCTGCAGAACTGAAAGAACTAAGATGAGAGGCCAAGACACTGAAGTGGCTACAGTGCACAGTATACAGGGAGGAGCTCCACAGAGCAGAAGGCTCCCCATCAAGTAGTCAGTTATGTGCACAGCACAGATGTACTGAAACTAGCAAAGACCACCTGAAAGGATTAGAAGTAACAGTATGCAATACTCAGACACAGGCTGGAAATAGTGCCTCCCTTATAATGGACTAGAAACCTCGAGATTCACAGAGCACTGCCTCAATGGTGGGAGATGCCTGGCCCTAGACTAAGCACTACCCCACACATATGTAATACATTCTAAAATCGAGGCAGGAAAGGATCAAACTGTTTCTGAGTAACTTAGCTACATTCCAGAACAAATATCAAAGTACATATAGAAATACAAAAATATTTAGCACTCCCAAAAGTGAAATTCATCCAACCAAAAATTACCACCCATGCAAAACAGTAGGAAAATATAGCCCAATATAAAAATAACAGTAAAAAAAGCTAAGCAAAGGAAACCAATACAGAAGAAACTGATAAAGACATTAAAATAGTTCTGCTCATATATTCAGAAGGTTAAACAAAATATGAAAAACAAAAAAACTCAAACAATTACTAGAGATGAAAACTGTAATGTCTGATACTAAAAATGCTTGATGAAATTAACAGCAGATTAGACATTACAGAAGACTAGTGAACTTGAAGCTATAGCAACAGATACTTTCCAAAAACAAAAAAGAGAAATGAGAATTAAAAAAAAAAGGTCAGAGGCTCACTAAGCTGTGATCCTCAAGTAACTTAATATAAATTTAACAGGACAAGCATTCAAAACTACTGATAAATAAAATCTACAAAAGGGAATAAAGAGTACCAGAAATGCTAACTACATGGATAAAACTGTAGGTCTTTTCATATTATTACAATTCAATTGTCTTTAAAAGACTTTTATTATCTTAGTGTCTATAACTGTAAAAGGTGCCATGATCAAGGCATCCAGGTCAGGGTGAGAGAAGTAGAGGCAGACTATGCTGACGTCTCATGCTCTCTACTAGGCATCACACAATTGCTATAAGGTGTAGACTGTATTAAACAAAGAGTATAAATGCTAAAAAAACAAAAACCAAAAAAACACTGAAACAACAAAACAATGTAAAAGAGCAGATTTCATCAGTATTGTAATGTTAATTCCTTTGAAGGTAGTGACTAGATGGAAAAACTTTTGCTATAAAGATAAGTGCCTTCAAAAAACAATGTAATACACTGTAAAGTTATATGTAATCCAATGTAATATAAAGAAGATTATGATGATAATAAAAAATAAAAAGAAAAAAAAAAGATAAGTGTTTTACCAAATCAGATGTTTTGGTCAATTAGCTTCACTCTCTATAGGCAGGAAATATTTAAATATATATAGGAAAATATTTAAATATATATGAATATTCATAATTTTTGTTAGATTCTAAAAGTAATTAATAATCCATAAGTAATGGGTTATTCTATTAGGTCTTTTTGTTATTTCATTGTACTTATAGTTCCATACTAAAAAAATTAGCAATTATTTATTTTTTAAAAAGACAATCATTTCATTTTTTTAATCATTACTATTATTATTTTTAAATGTGCTACAGGGCATGTGCTCTCACCAGATAGAGAAAGACAGAGAGAGAGAAGTGAGAAAGTATCACACAATTGTCCTGCCAGATCCAGGACTTAAAACTGCAGCTGGCCATGTGGAAGTCCAGAGCCTTAACCACCTGTTGGCTCTCGATTTTAATTTATATAAAGAGTTTGTGAAGCCATGGATTTCTACTGTTTAACTTTCTGTGGTACAGAACTCATAAATTCTTTTTCATGTTTTTATAAAATCAAACTTTAAATGAAAATAAAATAAAG